TGCGTTTTCTTAACGGTTTTCATAACAATACATTCTATTGGAGAAAATGAGTATGGTAAAACCGATCACTCAAAGATTTTTTACTTTTTTGAGGAACTTCATGATCATTTTGAAGCGCGATTTTTCTTTTGTAGGGTTTCAATATTACGTATTTTAAGGGCAACCTTAAATCCTATTTGTTCAATTTTAATTTTTGAAGACAGATATTCATTCATTCTTTCATTTATGCATTTTATTTCTTATGTAAATGTACACGATTCTTTGTCATGATGTAATGTGTTCCCTAATATTTTGAAGCGCCTTGAGCATTTAATTAAAATGGATAATGGCGCTGTATACATGTCATGTATTATTATTATTATTATTATTACACCATAATCACAAACACTGATAACACGAAGGGTCATGCATCTCAAATGTATCGTTGTTAAACGATGCCTTTAAGGGGGCCAGTTTGGTAGACTACAGTAAAATGCAAGTTGATAAAGGTATTTTTAATAAAAATTAATCATTACTTGATTATAAAGTAAACTCTTGTAAACCATATATTTCTGGAAAACTGAGACAATGGAGAATCTAAATCTTTTTGAGAAATTTATTTATCTCAATTAATATGCAAATTATATGCTAATTTCTCAAGGACATGAATATTAAAAAAATATGTTTGTGCTTGCTCTTTGTACTATTGTAATTGTAATTAGTTAATTACAATATCAAGGCACTTTTATGTGATTTTGATCGAACATGGTATGCACAACAATTCTATGACACCGTTTTTTGGAAATAATTTTGCTTGTGAGGTATGTATGTGAAAACCCATCAAAAGATTGTGTTTTTGTATGAAAATTTTTTTACTGCTAATTCAGAAGTAATTCTGATGATTTTTTCTTCAAGCTATAGCAATTTTTCTCAAAAAATTCTTATTCACAGATAATTAGGATATTATAAAGGTACTTCAAACACAGTTTCTAACCATAAATTTGATCCAAAATGGGATAACTTGACCTGCAATCGCTAGTTCATTTTCCAGCATGCAGGCTAAGCCGTCCTGACTCATTTTAGTCCACAACTGGTGGATATCAATTAGGTCTGGTCGGGAGGGTGGGGCTTAAACATGTCTTTTAGTGGGAAAATAACGACTATTAGTTGTTGAATCGACTTAAGTGCTACCAAGTCAAAGTAATAGTCTGATGTTCAGAACATTGTACCGAATGGTCGTACGTTATGTGCTCCACAAAGGTTCAATCAGTTTAATTTTGGCCATTACAAGAAGTGGGTTATTGATGAAGACAAATGCCCATGTACCCTTTACAACTCTTTTCATGTATGTTGTTACCAAAGAAGAAAAAAAGCCAGTCAGTCACTCAATAGTGTCTGACAGTAAAGTCTAGCAAGTAAACGGGTTTCTTTGCATAATTTGAATATGAGGACACTGCTAACGTTTAAATTTCACAGATAGGACATACATGACATATTCATAATTCCTGCAAAGTTCTACAGAATTTGATGTTGGCTGCAAAAGGGACATAGTACCTTTAAAGCCTTGTGCAAGATGATACACCTGCATCGGCGCTGTTTGTACTTCATTATTAGGGAAATGTGAGAGAGATTCCAAGTCAATTTAGTTTAATTCGTTCTATTTTCACATTTGAATAACAAGAACAAGAACAATAACAATATCATATACATTTAAAGAGAAAATAACAAGTATAAAGTACAAACAAATACAAATATGGTGGTATTTGAAGAAGAAAAAAACAGGCCTATAACAATGGCAAACCCTATAATTAAAAATATGAAATGTGTATAATATATGAATTTAACCAAAGAAAAAGCACACGCAAAAAACGGCATTAATTATATTATCTGAAAGGCACATATTATCGTCGCTGTTTTCACGAAGTGACGGTAGTGAAAAAAAATTGCATTCGCTTTGCGTTACGATTTTCCTCACTACCGTCACTTCAAAGCATATATATTAGGGGCGGATCAAGGGGGAGTGTGGGAGGCGCACGCCCCCTTTTTCCTTCCAAAAAATAAAATAGCAGTAAAAAAGCTTGAAAATATTCACAGAAATGTACAGTTTACACATTCAGAAAAGCCTCAGAATGTACCATAATTATAGAGCATATTAAGGTTCGACTTTTTTTCCTGGGCCCTTAAGCGTGGCCCGGGCCACACGCCCTAAAGGCTTCGCGTTCGCAATTTCGTACATTTTACCCCACCCCCCCCCCCCCCCTCTTGGAAAATCCTGGACCCGCCCGTGTAAATGACATTAAATGATAAATCACTTGAAATTAGGTATTGATAAGAAAATTGTTCTTCTCTAAAACAATGTCAAAAGCTCCTTGTGCAATTGAAAGTAATATTATTCGGTACAGATCGTGCATAGTAATTAGTTTGAGGAATATTAATAGTTTTAACGGGAACTGAGACGTGATGTGTGGTTTGGTAGAACTGGGGGGGGGGGGGTGTTTCACAAAGATCCTAAGTAGAACTTAACTCTAAGTTGGACTTAAATATTATGGAGAGCCATTTGTAGCCTTAAAATAAAATATATTCAAAAGCAAAATTTCAAGTATTTTAGACTTTTCATAAATTCCACATCAAGAACATGAAATCTCCTTGATAATAGACAATATGAATGATTTGAATCAACATTTTATGCCTTTTGAAATAACTTTTACAAAATATTTTCAATGATGCTAACGGCTTTCCATAGTTGTTAGGTCCAACTTAGAGATAAGTTCAACTTAGGATCTTTGTGAAACACCCCCCTGGTCTAAGAGGTCACAATTACTCTGGTTTGTATTCAGTTCACGTCCTAGTCCAAGTCCTCAGAGATCTGTGATAGGAAATCGAGAGAAGGTGAAGGGGAAGGATGGAATTAGGGGATGAGGATAGGAAGGACAAGAAAGGGAGAGGGGTGGAAAGGGGGTAGAGATGGGGGTTGGAAGAGAGGGAATATAGAGGGAGTGAGAGGCGAGGTAGAGAGAACGAGAAGGGGAGGATAAGAAGAGAGAATGAGACAAAATATATAAGGGAAACATGGGAGATTGAGAGGGAGAGAGAGGGGGTTGTGATACAGGGGTGGAAGGTAGAGAGGGGTAGGAAGTGAAAGAGGGAGTGGGGGAGAGAGAGAGAGAGAGAGAGAGGCAAGGGAGGGAAAAGAGAGGGAGAGGAGAGAGAGAGAGAGAGAGCAGAAGGAGAGATGGAGGAGAAATACTTGAGGGAAAAGGTTAAGGGAGATTGTGAAGTGAAGAAAATGAGAGAGAGAGAGAGAGGGAGGGGGGGGGGGGGAGAGAATGCCAGAAGAGGGGCAGAGAGTGAGATAGAGAGAGACAGAGACAGAACGACAGAGACAGAGAGAAGGAGAGAGACAGACAGAGACAGACATACAGAGAGAGGGGGAGGCAGAGGCTGACAGACAGACAGAATTGCGGTGGTGAAGAAAATTAAAAACAGTTACTATGGTTCCCATATGAGATAGAACACGGTGCTATTGAGACCTTACAAATTATACAAGTGTGAGATTGTGGGATTTACAAGAGGAATTGTAAATAGGGATTGAGAGAGAGAGAGAGAGAGAGAGAGAGAGAGAGAGAGAGAGAGAGAGAGAGAAAAGAGAGAGAAAGAGAGAGAGAGAGAGACAAAGAGACACATATATAATATATATATATATATATATATATATATATATATATATATATACAAGAGAGAGAAGGAGAGACATGAAGAGAGAAAGAAATATATATATATACACGCACACACACACATCGGCAGAGAGAGAGGGGGGATACAATACAGAGTAAGAGAGAGAGAGAGAGACAGACAGACACACAGAGAAAAGGGGGGATATCACCGTAGAGAGAGAGAGAGAGAGAGGTAATATAGGAAATAGTGGCTTGTATCGATATTTTACACTGAATGAACATGTAATTTCCGTTCATATAAAATAATGAATTAAAGGCATCGTTTTCGAAACAAGTTTGTTCATATCTATTGCTCTATTGTTAACAGCTATGCGATTTCTCTGCATGTATATTACTCTTATTTAAACAGTAATAGTAATATAGAAGTATAAAGTTCAATTACGGCTAGACATGAATTTGCTACCGAAATAGTTACTATTAATTCCCCCTGTGCCGTCTCCCTACCCCTCCCCCCCCCCCCCCCCAATTCATTACAATTACAACAGAAATGAGGTGTTCGTTTATAGTTTTGTTGGTTGCATCGCAACAACACCCGCCCTAGCAATTTATGTTCTTGACTATTTTGCCTAGATTGGTATACAAGTACTAGTATGTCATTGGAACATTTGCTTGTATTGATGTACTTCGATGCACTGGGGCATGACAAAAATGTAAATCTAGATTTTCTAAACAGGTTTGAAATCATGATCTACAAAATATATTATCAAGTACAATTCCCCCATTGGCTATAATGTAGAAACGAGCCTACCGTATCAAATTCCCTCTTTTTGGAGGTTATTCCCCCAAAGAATTGAATTGTAAAGGAGACTCAGATACAAGATATGAATCATATTTTGTTCCGTATACCAGTTGAAAAAGTCGAGCTCTCGTGTCCGCCGTGTCTGGAGTCAATACACACTATACATCTGACTCTCTCTCTCTCTCTCTCTCAATGACGCTGGCTATGTATATAGCGAGTGTGCATAATGCTATGGAACACGCGTGCATTATTTTGTAGTACTGTATGTACGATGGGCTCAGGGCTAGGGCTCGCGTACGTTCATTCATTCGTAAACATTCCCCGGTGAACGCCTGAATGACAAGAAAACCAAGTCTCGGAAAGGCTGTCACAAATGCTCGAATACGTCCTGTTATTTCACTCCTACCTCGCTCACTGAGCCCCAACCGTGGAAACCTTTATACCTGGATTTAAATACTGGACCACCTTCACGGATTTCTTGCTGTGGAAATTACTTTAACCCTTTCTTTCATCTCGGGAATCTTAAAACAAGGCGAAGATCTGTTACTATGGGAGTGTGCGGAGATGAGGCTATCGTATGGTGTTTTAAATACATTTTGGTCGTTGCTTGCTGCATCACAAATTTGGTGAGTCACTTTGATTTGAAATTCATGTCATTTTCCAGCATGCAGAAGGCTAAGCCGTCCTGACTCATTTTAGTCCACAACTGGTGGATATCAATTAGGTCTGGTCGGGAGGGTGATTTTGAGCTCGAAAGAATACTATTTTCCATTTGATTGCACGTTGATATACCCTCTGCTGGAGAAAATAGATGCCTATGTGTTATCCGACGGTGAACTCTGCCTGAGTTTCGGGCGGCTAGGCGGCTGGCTTATCGCATCTGTATGTAGCTTGCCTGTGAATGGTATACAGCTTCGTACAGAAGCGCCTCGCAAATTGATTTCGCTCAGATGGGGATAAAAATCTCAGCGGGGAAAAAGGGATGAAATAAAATGCTCCAGGCTTTGAATAAATTCAGTCTCCCCGTCTGCTGCTAATTGCATTGAGATTTGCTACGCAGGTAGTCGATCATACATAGAGCCTGTATTTAAGGCAACAATGTTTACCACCAAGTTAACCGAGTCGATATTTGTTTAGCAATTGATTTTCACAACTTCTATCGCAGCCGGGCAATTTAGTGGTCTCATGATGTGATGGTTATAGGCCGTCGCCGGTTCCCCAAGGAATAACGGGAAACTAGACAAAGAAATATCAATCGCAATAACTAGTCATCGCGGAGAGAATTGATAAAGATGTTAGGGATTTGATACAGAGGGTCCGTGAGAAAGGTTGAGAACGAGTGACATTTATTATGTTTAAAACTTAAAGGGTCATGTGCTTGAACAGTTGTTGCGGGTAAAACTACTAGACCTGTCACAATGGAAAGGCAGGACGACATGATAGTAGTCAAGACGTAACAGTGATAAGATGGTAATGGGGAGGAGGAGAAACAGCAGAACGGGGAGGGAGATGGGGATGACAGAGGTCATGATGGAAATTATGATTATGATGAGGAGGAGGAGAAGGATGATGATGACAATTATGATGATGAGGAGTAGAAGGAGGAGTAGGAAGAAGAAGGTAGTGATGAGATTGAGAAGGAGGAGAATGAGGAAGAAAAGCAGGGTGAGGGTAAGAAGATGATGATAATGCTGGTAATGATAAGGTGAATGAGAATGATGATGATGATGATGATGATAACGATAAGGAGAATGAGAATTATGATGATGATGATAATGCTGGTAATGATAAGGAGGATGAGAATGATGATGATGATGATGATAATGCTGGTAATGATAAGGTGAATGAGAATGATGATGATGATGATGATAATGCTGGTAATGATAAGGTGAATGAGAATGATGATGATGATGATAATGCTGGTAATGATAAGGAGAATGAGAATTATGATGATGATGATGATAATGCTGGTAATAATAAGGAGAATGAGAATGATGATGATGATGATGATAATGCTGGTACTGATAAGGAGAATGAGAATGATGATGATGATGATAATGCTGGTAATGATAAGGAGAATGAGAATGATGATGATAATGCTGGTAATGATAAGGTGAATGAGAATGATGATGATGATGATGATAATGCTGGTAATGATAAGGAGAATGAGAATGATGATGATGATGATAATGCTGGTAATGATAAGGAGAATGAGAATGATGATGATGATGATAATGCTGGTAATGATAAGGCGAATGAGAATGATGATGATAATGATGATAATGCTGGTACTGATAAGGAGAATGAGAATGATGATGATAATGATGATAATGCTGGTAATGATAAGGAGAATGAGAATGAGAATTATGATGATAATGCTGGTAATGATAAGGAGGATGAGAATTATGATGATGATGATGATAATGCTGGTAATGATAAGGTGAATGAGAATGAGAAGATGATGATAATGCTGATAATGATAAGGTGAATGAGAATGATGATGATGATGATAATGCTGGTAATGATAAGGAGAATGAGAATGATGATGATAATGCTGGTAATGATAAGGAGAATGAGAATGATGATGATGATGATGGTTATGATAAGGAGAATGAGAATTATGATGATGATGATAATGCTGGTAATGATAAGGAGAATGAGAATGATTATGATGATGATGATAATACTGGTAATGATAAGGTGAATGAGAATGATGATGATAATGCTGGTAATGATAAGGAGAATGAGAATTATGATGATGATGATAATGCTGGTAATGATAAGGAGAATGAGAATTATGATGATGATAATGCTGATAATGATAAGGTGAATGAGAATGATGATGATGATGATGATAATGCTGGTAATGATAAGGAGAATGAGAATTATGATCATCATGATAATGCTGCTTATGATAAGGAGAATGAGAATGATGATGATGATGACGATGAGCTATGAGAGAACTGAGTAAGACGAGAAGGAGATGGTGATGAGATGGAAGAAAAGCAGGGTGAGAGGAAGAAGATGATGATAATGATGCTAATGATAAGGAGGATGAGAATGATGATGATGACGATGATGATGATGATGAGAAAGAACTGAGTAAGAAGAGAAGGAGAGGTTGATGATAAAGAGGAGGTGAATGATGGATATGAAGATGATGTCCGATGGTGATGATGATGAAGAGGATGAAAATAAGGCTGACGGTGAGTTAACGACAATGATATTGACGAATAGTTATAATTACAGGCCTGCGTGATAACGCGGATTATGTTCATTTTCCAGTATATCGCCGATTTTTAATTAATTCCCAAACCTATCCATCACTAAGCCGAAGTTCAACAAAAGAACGATTCATTTCTGTGCTAAAAAAAAAACTCTCTCCTGACTCTCGCTTGAGTCGCTTCAAATCATTATTATCAGTCACTGGAGGGAAGGGACTGTATACAGAAAACTCAGACAAGCGTGGATATTCTCTGATTATTTTGGGGGGAATGCAATCATGACGAATATTGTGAGTTATGTATAGTTTTCGAGGTAAAAGATGAGCGCGACTGACCAAGACCTACATGCATTAGCATTTGCTTGAGAGGGGGAGGGGGCGGTTGGGGGGGGGGGGGGGGGGTCAGCATCGTGATTGTGGAATAATGCTGGATATTGTTTGGCTCACGACTGGAATGATATTTGCCCTGCTCCAGTCCATTAACAAAATGTTGTTGGTAGTTGACTGCCATTGTTTGAGGTAATGATTACTTTTTTGTGCTAAGTAGAATCATTTTTAGTGTGTAATAATAATAATAATAATAGCTCACATTTATAATGCGCCTAATACTTTGTTTCTAGGCGCGAAACATATTATTACCCCGGTCATCGGATTCAGGCTTACCCGCAACACAATGTATGCACATTTTCCACTCCCTGGGGAGTATTCCAGCCAGTCGCCATTTTACAAGCGCCATTTGTTAATCCAACCACATTAACTTTCGCATCCTACCGGGTACCCATTTTAACACCTGGGTGGAGAGTGGCAAATGTAGATCAATGTCTTGCCAAAGGACATTAGTGCCGCGGCGGGACTTGAACCGCGGACCTTGTGATCCACAGTCCGGTGACATATCCACTCGACCACGACACCTCTACTGTACTACACGGTGACGCAGCTTTCGCAGGAGAGAGAGAGAGGGGGGGGGGGGGAGGGGCGGTGATATCGTCGATTTGGAGAAATTCGGAAATTACAGAAGAGCATAGAGATCACGTATTAGAACATGGACTCATAAACTGAGGCTTCTAAGATAGGACTTAACATTACTGTATTTTGTAAGTTCATAAGAGCTACCGAGATGCATGGCCCTACGTATTATCAGTGTCTTTGATATGATGTTACATTGAAGCCTTCACAAATGTTGCGCTTTAAAATGATCATGAGGTGCCTCAAAAAAGAAAAAAAAATCTTTGAGTGACCGGTTTTACCATACTCATGTTCCCCAATAGACTGTAGTGTTATAAAAACCGTAAGGAAAACGAAAAAATGAAACGTCGATTTCCAATCATAAATATTTTAATGATCAGACAGACAATCGGCTTCTAAAAGTCATGGGATTCCTGACTGACCTAACGGTTTATAATTATCATTGCAGCATGAGCTAAATTCAGGATTTTGGTTCAGAATGTGAGGCAATGTTACAGAGTCACTTTAACATTATTGTAGTTTGTAAGTCCATAATTATAAATATGGATGTGGTGTTTATTATTACGCAGGGGGCTAGCGGCTAATCTTGAAACATTCTTTAATCATCGGCTTGACCTAATTGGTCAGGGGCTGTTAGTATATCTAGACACAATAATGTCTCTGGTATATATCCATTTTAGTAACTGTATAGGCTCGCATACCGGCCGGACCTCAGTTCGTCTACTACCCAATTGGTCTATTCCCATATGGTCTACACCCAGCCCGTACCATCCACATGGTACGATAACCATTTTGTATACTATCTTTTGGTCTAACGACCATTTAGGCCAATAGTAATTTCGTTAAATTTTCATTTGGTCTAATCTCCTATTAGTCTCTTACCCATTTGGTCTAATTTCCAGTCGGTCTAATTCACAGTTTGTCTAATGCCCATTTTGTCTACTATTATGTTCGAATAATCATTTAATCGTAAATACTGAACCATATGCCTATCCATCGAATGATTAGTAGACCATCTGGACAGTAAACAATAGTTTAAAGGTTTTGGGGACTACTTTTTAAGCTTGCTTGCATGAAATAACACTCTTTAATTTGTTTTGCATTAAACCCTATGCAAATTTGTTGGGGCTCTTTTATGACTTTCGGGGGCTCTTTCTAGCATTTCGGGGGCTAATTCGCTCCGAGCCCCCGGTATTTTTTTTCACAAGACATTACACGGGCTGGGTGTAAACCATATACGAATAGACTGTTTGGGTAGTAGACGAACTGCTTGCAAACTAAACGGCAATAAACCGAACCGGACCTTCTCTAATGATGTCCATCTATCAAACTGGGAATACAATCTACCCATCTTATTCCATTCAGTTCAGGGGCATCGCTAGATCATTTTCAGTGTTGGGGGGGGGGGGGGGAGGGGGAGGGGGTGGTGGTGATGTCAGACAACATTTTCCAACAAGCAATATTTGAAGACAATGATTAAAAAGAAATGGTTTAAGGTCTTTTTCAAAGGTCTTTTTCCGAATACGATGGCATTTTAAAAGCAAGCCTTTTGATTTAATTTTTTTTTCTTCAATTATTGTAATCATTTTAATTTCTTTTTGAGGGAGGGGGGGGGGGGGATTTCCACTATGCTACCCTCTCAAAGTGACTTTTAAAGCATGAAAAATTGCACAAACCAATTTTCATCTCCACCAGAACTCTACCATATATAAGTTTTATTATATATCTCCGTCATTATTTTGCACAAAGCTTGGCTTGTGATATGTCCATGGCCTGACATTTCACATCCTACAGAAACTCAGATGTATTACTCTAACCATGCATTAACAGATAAAATTGAGTGATGCCCTCTTCTTTTGGACAAAATGCTCAAATTGCCCTCTTACATAAGAGCGAATGATGTGGGACCTTGCAAAGTGATATATTTTCACACATCATTTTTGAATCATGTGCGAGATATTATGATAGACCAGGGTACGTGAGTTAAAGGGATCGTTTAACAATGTTAAATCTGAGATACACGGCCCTACGTGTTATCAGTGTCTGTGATATGGTGTAATATTGAAGCCCTAAAAAAATTGCTCTTCAAAATGATCAAGAAGTGCCTCAAAAAAGTAAAAATCTTTGAGTGACCGGTGTTACCATACTCATTTTCCCCAATAGACTGTAGTGTTATGAAAACCGTCAGGCGAACGGTTTTCAAAATTTGTAATTCCAATCATAAATATTTTGACAATCAGACAGGCGATCGGCTTGTAAAAGTCAAGGGTTTCCTGACTGACCTAAAGGTTTATAATTATCAATGCATCATGAGCTAAATCCAGAATTTTGTTTCAGAATCTGAGACAAAGTTACGTGATCCCTTTAACGGGAGAGAGGGTGTGTGCGGCGGTGGCGTTTCACGGGAGAGGGGGTAGATGAAGTGGGGTCACGCTGCGGTGGGGGTGGGGGGGGGGGTGGTAGACCACCCTACACACATGCAGGTATAATCATGGATTTACTAGTAGGTCTATGGTATAATCATAATTATATCTGCCCATGCATGATAATGCGCGGTCATTGATTTGATGACTCTATAATGACCGCGGTCCAGCGCTCACTAGAGATTCAAGGTCGCTTTATGGAGTGAATGAACGCGGGATAGACGCGACGCGGCGGGTTTCACACTATCACGTATCTGCCTAATAAATAGGCCTATATACATCCTATACGGAAAAGAAGCCAGCATCTCACAGCGTTCCACAGTGCGGAAACACAGTGTGGACAACTTAAAACGGCGTGTTTAAGTTTTAAACGTAATGTGGCAAAATATGTGAAAACAATGTGTTCGCATTGCCATCAACATAATAATGTCTAAATTCACTTTCAGAGTCACACTGTACGTACGTTTTTTTTTTCAATTCCACTCTGTGTTACCCAGTTTAAAGACGATGTGAACAGTGTGCATCATTTTTCGGCCCCACACACTTTTCAATGTAAGCACAGGTAAATTTGAATTATGAAACTTTGCAAACTGGGAGAAGAAAAAAACCCACGCAAATATCATCCGATCCCTTTGGATCCCAGTTTACACACCCTCCCTCACAGATAATACGTGTGTGTACATTGGCTTTAAAGGCCCACTGCACTACTTGTAGCTACTTGCGCCCTCTATATAACAAACAATGCCTAATCGGTGACCATTGGTCCCCCATGATCCTCTTTTTTTATGTTAACTGAGAGCTGAGTTGATGAGATAACCACCTGTCCAGTGACCTTGCAGGGCAGTCTAATCCCTCCTGTAAACTACGGCATATAAGCTTTAAAGACAAAGCTGAGTTCTGGTCATGCGATTGCACTGTGAAAGAAAAGGTGTGGAACGGATCAGAAAAGGTTGATCGCCTATATAAATATTTGGTGTGTACTGCAAGGTTCTGGAATCGTAAAAATGAAAAGAAATTTGGCCCAGTCTTGGTAAAGTTACAAGCACTGTACACAGAAAGATGTATATGGGACTATACACGAACATGTGGCATAAAGATCCGTTCCGATTTCTATACTGTTACATGCAATATTTAGAATCTTAAGGCATTTGAAGAGCCATGCTTTTCAGGGAACATTTTAAATCTGACGTTCTTCCACACTTGCATTATAATACAACATAACGCTTACAAATTATTTATCACCTTTTTCCAGAACTCAACCTTCTCTTTAAAAAAAAAAACCGGTTCTCTATATTTACATCCACTTGTCAATGCAGTCAATCGCATATTTGATTTGGAAATTGCCT